GGTCCAGTGTCAGGGCTGATGCCCAGCTCCACACAGCGGGGTCCAGGGTCCCTGCCACCGGGACCCCACCCATGGCTCCACTCCTGGCCCCACTTTGTGGAGGGGGTCTCTGGGCAGGAGGCGGTGGGCATAGGGGTCTGTGTCTCATATCATAGAATCTCAGGGTTGGAAGGGACCTCAGGAGGTCATCTAGTCCAACCCCCTACTTAAAGCAGGACCAATCCCCAGACAGATTTTTGCCCCAGATCCCTAAATGGCCCCCTCAAGGATTGAATTTACAACCCTGAGTTTAGCAGGCCAATGCTCAAACCACTGAGCTATCCCTCCCCCCTTCCTTCAAAGCCACCCAACCCCTTCCCTTGTCCCTTATAGACTGATAGACTTTAAGGCCAGAAGAGACCATCATGATCATCTAGTCTGATTTCCTGCACAACACAGGCCACAGACCCTCACCCATCCCCTCCTGTAACAGGCCCGTAATCTCTGGCTGAGTTACTGAACTCCTCAAATCCTGGTTTAAAGACTTCAAGTTACAGAGAATCCACCATTTATTCTGGTTTAAACCTGCAAGTGACCCATTCCCCATGCTGTAGATAGAGGAAGGCAAAACACCCCCCCACCCCTCCCAGGGTCTCCGCCAATCTGACCTGGGGGGAAATTCCTTCCTGATCCCAAATATGGTGATCAGTAGGACCCTGAGCATGTGGGCAAGACGCAGCAGTAAGACACCTGGGAAAGAATTCCCCATAGTAACTCCGAGGGAACCCATGGGAATTGAAACGACCACTCAGTCGACTTCCAAAGAGATGGGATTCGTGGGAAGATTTTATCATGAAAAGGACTGGCCACATATGGAGAAGGAAAGCCAGGATAAGAGAAGACTGGAAGATGTATTGTGATTGGCACAATCTATATGAGGGCTGAAGGACTGATTGAACAACATGATCATCCTGAACTCAGAACCCTCCCCATCTAGTGCCCCATCTCCAGCTGCCAGAGAGATGTGCTACTAGCAGTCATACACAGGCCACATGCCATTGCAGGCAGTCTCATCATACCACCCTTTCATAAATGTATCAAGCTCAGTCTCTCCAAGTCCCTCCCCTGGCCCCATACTACCGCCCCACAGAGCCCCTCCCCTGGCCCCATACCACCGCCCCACCGCCCCCCTCCCTCCCAGCCGCCCCCCCCCCCCGCA